TGAGCATCCAGTGGCTTACTTAAGCAGAAAACTTTTACCCCGGGAAGTAAGCTACGCCGCCATCGAAAAGGAATGCCTGGCCGTGGTGTGGGCCCTCAAGAAGCTGCAGCCCTATTTGTACGGACAACCATTCTCGCTAGTCACAGATCACAACCCGTTGGTGTGGCTGAACCGGGTGTCAGGGGACAATGCCAGGCTGCTGCGCTGGAGTTTGGCGCTGCAGCCTTTTGACTTTACCATCCACTACCGCCCTGGGAAGCAAAATGGCAACGCCGACGGGTTATCCAGACAAACTGAACTTGAAAAGTGATCTGTGAGTACTCCTCCGGACATCCCCAAGCCGATCCGTTGGGATCAGACTGTGTATGCCGGCTTGGTTCTGGGGGAGCATTGTGGCAAACCTAGCCACTTACAGAATGTCCTTGTATATATCTTGCTATTACTGCATTGCTATTCCTATCTGTGGCCAAACCAGCCACTTAAAGTGTAACCCCCCCCTGAATGTAATATGATGTAAAGTGTATCCCTGTGTACTGCTTGGTATCTCCTAAGGCGGGAGATGGCTATCTGTAACCCAACCCCCTCCTGCCTGGGACTAAGGGAAGTGTATTGTGTGGAATGCAGACCCCCCCTGCGGAGGTCTGTGCTAAAAGGAAGATGTAATCATTAAAGAGTTTTGACTCAGCCTGGTGAGATGCCAGTGTTTAACCTCCAAGCTATGTGTCGTCTAGTTCTTAGGAGAAAAGGATTGTAACTACGCTACCTGCATTTTACCTGCTTCATCCTGCCTACCAGCGGAGATACCGTGGATAATACCACTACTCTGCTACAATTGTCAATGTACTGGGATAGATTACACAAAGGAGAGCTTATCCCAGATACAATCGGTCTTCCTGGAGGGTGTTTTGCATCTTTATGTATTTTGGGTAGGAAATAAATGACTGGAATTTTAGGGTTCTGAATAAGTAAGTAGTCAAATTCTTTTTTGCTCAAGATATTGTCATTTAAACCCTTTTGTAGGAAAGTAATTAATTTCTGCTGTATGTTAGAGGTAGGGTCTTTAGTTAATTTTTCATATACATCAGTATCATTTAGTTGTTTATAAGCTTCTTTGATGTACATGTCAGTTGACTGGATTACAACACCTCCACCTTTGTCAGCCGGTTTAATTACTATTTCTTTGTCCTCTTGAAGTTGTTTAATAGCTGTTTTTTCCAATATATTTAGATTTTGAGTATCGTATTTATTAAATTTAATCTTGTTAAGATCTCTCAGAACAGATTTTTCGAACATCACCAAAGGGGCTGATTTAAAATGATATGGATAAAACATAGATTTGGGTTTAAGATTGGTATTAATAAAAGTAGATTGATCTGTGGACTGGGAAAGGGGAGGGTTAGTGTCTAAGGTCTGTGCTTTAAAAAATCTTTTTAACGTAGCCTTTCGTACAAACTTATTTACATCTAAAAATGCTTCAAAGGGTTTAAAAGAATTAGTTGGAGCATACTTTAAACCTTTACTTAAAACAGAAATCTGTGCTGCACTTAAAATTTTATTGGATAGGTTAAAAATGCCAACATCTGATTCTTTTGGAGTGTTTCTTATCTTTCTAATCTCTCTTTTTTGCTCTCTTCTGCCACTCCGTTTGCCTCTGGGCTTAGGGTTCTTTTTTTGGCTCTTGTAGGGTATGGTGTATTGATGAAAGTGTTGGGGTGTGTCTGAATCTCTAAAAAATGGTCATCATTCTCAATTTCAGAATCGATAGATAGTAATTGGTATCTGTTAGTGTGTGTGATAGGGGTCTCAGAGTGGTTCTGGTAAAAAGTATTAGATCGATGTGCTTTCGGTGAGTGTAGATTAGTGTCTGGACTCCGTCCATTATAGTAACGGTTAGAAGAATCTTGAAAGTTAGAGGTATTATGTTGTATCTTCCGTGACGTGTATGATGATGGACGGTGATAAGATGAGGGAGCATAGTGAGGGTTATGGTTTTTGTAGTGAGGTCTAGGTCTGTGAGGAGAATGGTGAAAAGGTTTAAAAGGAATAGAGGAGTGATTTTTGATAGCATATGAAGGTTCATATCGTGTGTTGCGTGTAGTGACTCTATGGTTTTGATGAGACTCTGTTCTTAAATTAGTGTGTGAATTATCAGCCGTGTATCTTTTATTTAGATGGTATGTTCTAACCTGTCGATTAGCATAATCCTGCTTGTCTCTAACATATTTTCTAACTTTAATATGCTTAGTATCTGTTTCTATTTTTTCGATTTTACTTTGGATTAGAACTGAATTTTGTTGATATACATTGCTTTCTGTGAAAGGCATAAGTTTTTCTCTGAGATCGTTGATTTCCCTATCAAGATTAGATAATTTTTTACTTTTTTTCTTTATTAGCGTATCCATGAGACCAAATGTACAAGTTTCTAGTTTGTTGTTCCATTCGTTCATAAATTCAATATCATCTTGGTCTGAGGTAGGTAATTTCATAAGTCTCAGGCCTCGTGGGGTTATACGTTCATCAATATATTTTTTGAAAGTAGCAATTTCCCATTTTAGTTTTATTTCTGTTGTTAAAGCTCTTTCTAATTTGATAAATAATTCTTGCTGGGTAAATGTAGGGGGCCTCACATATATAGGGCTAATGGTTTGATTAGAGAAAACATTATCAATATCAATAGAGTGGTTGCTCCTATACTCAAAAATAGACATATTAAAAGCAGCTAAAACCAGAGGGATATGAGTTGAATACAGGAAAAAAAGTTAAAAAGGTTAGCGCTAATAAAAGAAAAAAAAATGGATAAAGAGGCAGCAGGAAACATGGTACCCTGGTTCTGAGACAGATGAACAACAGACACTTTCTCAGTCTGATCATCAAGTAAGTACCAGAGGTAAATCAGAATGGCGGTTAAAAACATCTATCATAGGCCATGTATGTTTAGCTAGAAGAGGGCCAATGTATAATACACCTGTAGGTGAGTTAACCTGCTTAGGACAGAAGGCCTATAATGCTGATACAAAAGATACTACTTGGTAGTCAGCTTCAAATGTCTCAGAACCTACTGATCCGTTTGCCAATTACACTCATTTAAAGGAGGTATGGTTTGATTTATCTGCTACATCCAATAGGAAAGCCCCAGCAAATTTATACTGGATCTGTGGTAGGAAAGCTTATTCGGAGTTACCACAAGATTGGGAAGGGGCATGTGTGCTAGGTATGCTCAAGCCATCCTTCTTCTTGTTGCCAATTGAGACAGGAGAGACCTTGGGAGTTAAGGCTTATGATGTAAATCATAAAAGGGAGTGAGCATCTTTGAATATAGGTAGCTGGGAAGATTAGTGGCCTCCCCAACGTATTATTAATTATTATGGATCTGCTACTTGGGCAGAAGATGGCACTTATGGATATAGAACTCCGATATATATGCTCAACTGCATTATTAGACTACAGGCGGTAGTTGAGATTATTACTAATGAGACAGCTCAAGCGCTTAATCTTCTAGCTAAGCAAAATACCAGGATGCGATCAGCCATATACCAGAATAGGCTAGCCCTTGATTACTTACTATGTGAAAAGTTTAATTTAAGTAAGTGTTGTCTGCATATAGATGATGAAGGGCAGGCAGTGGCTGAACTTACTGGTCACATGGTTAAACTTGCGCATGTACCTACTCAGGTTTGGAGTGGGTATAACCCAAGTAGTTGGTTTGGAAGTTGGTATGAGCAGCTTGGAGGGATTAAGGCACTAGTAGGAGGAGTAGAATTTATTATATTTATTGTGCTTCCTCCTGCCCTGCCTGATTCCACTAGTGGTCAGGTCTATACGTAGTGTTATAGAGAGCACTATAGAAAGAGAGACAGCTGCCCATGTAATGGCTGTCTGGAAGTATGATCCCCTAGCCCACAGAGAGAATAATCGGGATGAGGAATGTTGAGAGAGCACGAAGTTAAGTTAGAATGATTACAAGGTCTGTACTGGTTCATGGTTACTTGAGTGGTGTTGGCAGATTATGATTAGTGATGCAACTGGAATAATGTTATATCAGAAGCATCAAAGGGGGGAATGTGATGGGATTCCAGCATGGTCAAAATTTAGTAGGCCAAAATCTGCACATGGCATATGCTAATTAGTATCTGGTTACAAACAGTTGGATGAGTCAATGTACTGAGCATGTGTGGAAGTGGATAGTAAAATCCTTTGTCTTCAACAAGCCATGTGGTCTGCCATATAAGGTCCTGAATATGCTGTGTGCTGATTGGTCTGAGGAATATAGGAGGGGTTATACTGTATGGGAGGAGATATGCAGTTAACAAAAGTCTCATGCACCAGGTATTTGTCTCTCAGAATTTTGGAATAGGAGTTCATCTGAGACCCGATCGGTAATGTGAATAAAGGCCTCTTACTTCCTGAAGACTTGTGTCCATATCTCTGTGTTTGGCTTCTGCATGCTTACACTGCTACACTGGGACATTAAGATAGTCTGCTTGATTGACTTCAGCAAAGAAATTCTGTTCCTGCTGCAACAAACAAACTGCAAGATGCTCATGCTCACCTCCAGGTGCGACGTGTTCTGTTGTAGCTCTGCTTAGGGTGTCACTGATGTACATTTCAAATCTTGGCTTGAACACAACATTGAGATTGTAATTCTGCAATGTAAGCATCATGCTCTGCAAACTTTGGAGCACATAAAAGCAGCTTCTTGAATATGACTATTAGCGGTTTGTGATCAGTTTCAGCAATGATTGCATCCCAGCCATAGAGATAATAATGGAAACGCTGATAGGCAAAAACAATGCTTAAACATTCCTTTTCAATTTGAGCATAATTTTGCTCAGCTGAAGAGAGTGCTCTGGATGCAAATGCATCTGGCTGACCTTCTTGCAATAGACAACATCCTAGGCCATTTTTGCTTGAGTCGCTTTGTATTGTAAAAGGCTTTTTTACATCGAGATGCTGCAGTGTAAGCATGCAGAAGCCAAACACAGAAATATTGGACACAGGTCTTCAGGAAGTAACAGGCCTTTATTCACATTACCGATCGGGTCTCAGATGAACTCCTGTTCCAACATTCTGAGAGACCAACACATAGTGTACATTCCTTATATAGCACTATAACGCCTCCCATTAATAGCTACACCCACATATACCTTTAACCAATCAATGAGCAGAATATAGACTTGTACATCTAGTCAAACCACATGGCTCATCCAAGACAAAAGGAAATAAGTGCAATTCCAGTTCCTGCATTCCTGCACATGCTCAGTACACTGATGACAGTATCCTAGCTACATGTAGCTAACCAACTGACACAACATACACATATGCCACATGGAGATTTTGGCCTACTAAATTTTGACCATGCTGGAATCCCATCACATTCCCCCCTTTGATGCCTCTGATATAACATTATTCCAGATGCATCACCAATCACAGTTTTACCTACATCTCTCAAGTAGCCATTGAACCAAAGTAGACCTTGTAAGCATCTTAAAAATTCCTTCAACATTCTTCATCCTGAATATATTCTCTTCGGGCTAGGGGATCATATCTTCCAGACAGCCATTACATGGGCAGCTGTCTTTCTCTCTATAGTACTCTCTATAATACTACGTAGGGACCTGACCACTAATGGAATTAGACAGGGCAGAAAAAGACATAAGAATATGATAAACACTACTCCTCCTACTAATGTCTTAATTCCTCCAAGCTGCTCATACCAACTTCCAAACCAACTACTTAGGTTATACCCATTCCAGACCTGAGTAGGTACATGCACAAATTTAACCATGTGGCTTGTAAGTTCAGCCACTGCCTGCCCTTCATCATCTATGTGCAGACAACAGTTACTTAGATTAAGCTTTCCGCATACACCTCCTTCTACTGCTAGTAAGTAATCAAGGGCTAACCTATTCTGGTATATGGCTGATCACATCTTGGTATTTTGCTTAGCTAGAAGATTAAGCGCTTGAGCTGTCTCATTAGTAATAATCTCAACTACCGCCTGTAGTCTAATAATGCGGTTGAGCATATATATCGGAGTTCTATATCCATAAGTGCCATCTTCTGCCCAAGTAGCAGGTCCATAATAATTAATAATATGTTGAGGGGGCCACTCATTATCTTCCCAGCTTCCTATATTCAAGGATGCTCTCTCCCTTTTATGATTTACATCGTAAACCTTAACTCCCAAGGTCTCTCCTGTTTCGATTGGCAACAAGAAGAAGGATGGCTTTGGCATACCTAATACACATGCCCCTTCCCAATCTTGTGGTAACTCCGAATAAGCTCTCCTACCACAGATCCAGTATAAATTTGCTGGGGCTTTCCAACTAGATGTAGCCGATAAGTCAAACCATACCTCCTTTAAATGAGTGTAATTGGCAAACGGATTAGTAGGTTCCGAGACATTTGAAGCTGACCACCAAGTAGTATTTTTAGTATTAACATTATAGGCTTTTTGTCCCAAGCAAGTTAGCTCACCTACAGACGTGTTATACATTGTCCCTTTCCTGGCTATACAAACATGACCTATAATGGAGGTTTTTAACCACCATTCTGATTTACTTCTAGTACTTACTTGATGATCAGACTGGAAAGGTATCTGTTGTTCATATGTCTCAGAGCCAGGGTACCATATTTCCTTTGCCTCCCATGGCCACTGGTCTCCCATATTAGTACCTCCACACACATAGCAATTAGTTACATTAAGACTACCTGCAATACCCTCAGCCAAATCAATAAATAGGTTCTTAACATTATGGGGAATTTTATCCTCAATACTCATCTCCTCATAGAAGGAATGAGAAACCTGATGAGTTTGAGTTGCCACTGTCTCAGTTTCAAGACCTACATATATTATTGTTCCTGGATCTACTCCTGTGCCATATATTTGGAACCCAAACAGACCTCCAAACCTGTCAATAAAGTGCTGCAGATTGGAAATGGTCATGTGAACGGGGTTACACACATAGTTTTACAGTATGGTGTGGTAGGCAACCTTTGGATAATCATATCTTGATCCACTGTTTTTCCCAGGTTGCCCAACCTACACATGACCAATAGGGGCAGAAGTTAGTCTCTATTTGGGCAATCAGGATCAGTAGATCTTTTACTGGGACATAAGTATTTATCATTAAACCCATAAGTTCGTTCCCATTTAAGATTACCACATACATTCCAAAGTCTTCCACTACCCGAAATCGCCTTACATGCATCAAATAGTAGAATACCCGTGGAATGTATGGTGCTTATCACAGTCCTATTTATTAATGTCCCCTGGGAGTTACTATTCCGAATTACCAACCAAATTGTACGGGGTTGGAAATGGGGATCAAAACATTTAGACTCTCCTGATATTGGCTTGCACACACTATAATCAATATCCAAATATCTACATTTAGATACAGATCCCTTACATTCATACTGTGAGTGCCAGATGAGAGTTTGGGATATTTGGTTACCTGTTTTAGTAGTCTTAATGCAACTATCGCAATTCGGTATGTCTGTACTCCTACCTTCCTGAAAAATCATAAAAATACTAAGACACAATAAAACACATTATTCCTGAAATCCTCATTTTTCTTCGACCGTGCGATGGCCTCTCAGCTTCCCGATTGTGAGGGCTGCAAGGATGTTGTTCTTCTGATCCTCACTTTCCTTCACAGAGATCCCTTCAAGACACTCTGGCTATGACACGTAGGCAGGTGGTCAGGCTTTATTATGGCCGTCAAAACACCTACTTGATGATCTTTGTAAACTTTTAACTAGAATGTCTCGATATCCCCTCGTCACTCTGACTGAGTTGCACGCTTCAACCGGGTCCTGCAAGGATTCTCAGGATCTGGAGTAGCTTGCCAAGAGTCTGCCGCTGGTTTAACCTTAGAATGATGAATCCAAGGAGTCACTTCCGCCACCTTTACAGCTGTTGGGGTAGATAAAAGAACAACATACAAAGGCTAACAGGATACACCCCGAGCTTTAACTCAATATGTATTGGTGGGATATTACGAACAAGTCCTGGAGGATTATTTTCTTCCCATACTCCTGGAATGTCAAATAAGGATTCATCACTTTTAGGGTTAATACTTGTCACTATGGAATAGAAGCATCATTCTTCTTCCCTTGGCACCGATATCGCCATTATGCCTGGTAATCTCTTAAACTTCAGAGATGTTGATCCATTAGGTAAAAGGTTATCTGAGCTTAAAGCTTCGATAATAGATCTCGTCCTAAAAGTTGAATCGGACACTCTGGCATATATAGGAACTAATGCTTCACCACATGGCCTCCCAGAATACAAGTGCGACTCTTAAGAACCGGTCTAGCTGCACTTCTCCCAGTAGCTCCTATCACAGTTATAGTCTTCCCCGAAGGCGGAGCCACCATCTTAGTCACCACAGAATGTTCAGCACCTGTGTCGATCATGAAAGAACTTCTCTTTCCCCCTATTGCTACATCGACCATAGGCTCCGCTCGACCAAGTGGGATGGAGCCCGGTCGGTATCAATAGTCTTCCATGATAGTATCAGCCAGACCCACAAAATCTCTATCCTCTCTTTCTCTAGGTCTCTGCGTGGGTGGATAGTATCTGTCTCCTTGAACACTTCCTCTACTATTCCCACCATTCCCTCTAAAACTTCCTCTTCTTCTATAACTACCACTATAACCTCCTCGTACCCTTCTCTCTCTTGTCTATCACCTTGATACTGCTCTCTCTGTGGACACTCACTCTTCCAATGTCCCTCCTTTCTACAATACGCACATTAATTCCTACTTAAAGGTCCCTTGCTCAGCCTATTCTCGTCTCCTCTATTCACTTCCCTGTCTTTCTACACTTAAGATAGCTACCGCTAGCATATCTGCCTTTTTCCTCATTTTACGTTCTTCCTCCGTCTCCCTATTCATATATACTGTATTTGCAATCTCCATTAGCTGTAATATGGACATCCCTGCAAATCCCTCTAATTTCTGTAATTTCCTTTTACTATCACCTTGGGCCTGGCTGACAAATGCTGAGTCTATCATTCGGAAGTTTTCAGGGGCTTTGGGATTGAAAGGAGTGTACAATCTATTTGACTCAAGCAGTGTCTAATATGGGACTTCGACAAGGCTGCTCAATAATAGGTTCCAGTCTAGGAGTAGTAAGATAGGTGTAAGGGGGTGAGCTAATTTTATTAGTCAGCATTTGGTGGATGAAAAAACGTTTTCTGTTTTGTTTTTTTTAAAAGTGTTAAACCAAAAACCTACCAATAGGTGTCACCAGAGGGTAATTGTATCAAAATAATCTTTATGGGTCTAATAAGAAAACTTAACTTTTAATATATTTATACATAAAATAAAACCTTATAGCAATAAATATATTAAAATAGGGTAAGCAATCCTACTTCTATCTGTTATAAACAATGTATTATCAATGTAACTCCCGAAGATGGCCAGTAGGTGGCCTAGAGTGCCTCCCTAAAGTCTAATCAAGCAAATAGACTTTAATTAATTATGTCCCTATTTTATTATTACTTATTTTAATCACTGTCCACCCTGATATCTAGGCTTGATTAAATCTTTAGTTCTAAGGTAAATTAAACATTTCAGTTTGTAGTTTAGTAAAAGGGGACATTTTGGACAAAGCTGGGAGGGGCCCATCCAGTAACTAAAAAAAAGACCATATACCATCTGCAGTGGCGTACACACGACCCCTGGGGCCCCGGTGCGAAAATTGATCCGTGGGCCCCCCGCGCGCGCGGGCCGGACCGCAACACATGGCGGTGGGCACCTGGTCGCAGGGGTTACAGGGCTGCGACCCCTGCGACCACGGTATGTACGCCAGTGCATGCAGATGCACACACACTTAAAGGACCACTCTAGGCACCCAGACCACTTCAGCTTAATGAAGTGGTCTGGGTGCCAGGTCCAGCTAGGGTTAACCCATTTTTTCATAAACATAGCAGTTTCAGAGAAACTGCTATGTTTATGAATGGGTTAAGCCTTCCCCTATTTCCTCTAGCGGCTGTCTCATTGACAGCTGCTAGAGGCGCTTGCGTGCTTCTTACTGTGATTTTCACAGTGAGAGCACGCCAGCGTCCATAGGAAAGCATTATGAATGCTTTCCTATGTGACCGGCTGAATGCGCGCGCAGCTCTTGCCGCGCGTGCGCATTCAGCCGGCGGGGCGGAACGGAGGCGGAGAGGAGGAGGAGAGCTCTCCGCCCAGCGCTGGAAAAAGGTAAGTTTTTACCCCTTCCAGAGCCGGGCGGGAGGGGGACCCTGAGGGTGGCGGCACCCTCAGGGCACTATAGTGCCAGGAAAACGAGTATGTTTTCCTGGCACTATAGTGGTCCTTTAAAGGACCACTACAGACACCCAGATCACATCAGCTCAATGAAGTTGTCTGGGTGTCAGGCCCCTCTAGTTTTAAACCTGCAGCTGAAAACATAGCAGTTTCAGAGAAACTGCTATGTTTCACTGAGGGTTAATCCAGCCTCTAGTGGCTGTCTCACTGACAGCCGCTAGAGGAGCACACTGAACGTCCATAGGAAAGTATTGAGTAATGCTTTCCTATGGGCGGTTTGAATGCGTGCGCAGTCGCATTCGGAGCTGAGAGGCTGAGGGATCCTCAGCGCCAAGGGAGTCCGGCGCTGGAGAAAGGTAAGTGCTGAAGACACACACACACACTTACAGACGCATACACACTAGCTAACAGACACACACATTTACTGACAGAGACAGTCAGCGACAGACATACATACACACTCACTTACAAAACATACACTCTCATTGACAAACACACACTCACTAACAGACATCAAACAGACTCACTAACACACACACACACTCAGTAAGACACACACAGTAGCACACTCACTAGCAGACACACACACTAACACTCACACTCACACTAACACTCACTCTAACACTCACACACACTAACACTCACACACACCAACACTCACACACACTAACACTCA